CAGACAGATCATTCCGAGTGAGAATAGGCTCGACCTACTCTTTTCCAGCGCCGGCCTCCATTGGAGTTCCTGAAGGCTCCATCTTGGGACCACTCCTGTTTCTGATCTACGTCAGCGACCTCCAAGATGTTCTTGCGAGTCCATATTATTATTATTATTTAATCGAGTATTTCCCACTGTTTATGACATTGTCCTCTTTCCGCGCAGTCCCCACTACCCGCAAATCCCCCTGTCATACCCCCAGCCTGACCGTAAATACTTTTTGTGGACGACTTGAAATCCTAGAGCTCCAATGCCAGTTCTCTCCAAATGGATGTAGACGCTGCCAAGCAGTGGTCACTGGACTGGCACCTTCCTCTGAATGATGAAAAGTGCGTCCATGTATCGTTTGGAGGGGATTCAGCGAATGCCTTTGTTATGTATGGTGAAAAAGAACCAGAAAACATCATGAGGATAGACGCCAAAAGGATTTGGGCATCTGGGTCTCCTCAAACTTGTCCTTCTCACTGCACCAGGAGAAATCGACCCAAAAGGCATTCGCCATTTTACGGATGATCCGTCGCACCTTCTCTCGTATTAATCGCATGGACTTCCAAATACTCTATGGGGCCTACGTCAGACCGCTCCTGGAATACGCCAACCAAGTTGGTTACTCAGGTCGCACGAAAGACGTCACCTTCATTGAGCGTGTACACCAACGCGCCATGAGAATGTTTGCTGGCCACAAAACCTGTCTCGCGATGCTTGATCTCTTTTTTCTGAAACATCGTTGCCTCCGAGGGGACCCAATCCTTACTTATGCTCTGTTAGAACAAGGCTTGGCCAACAGGTTTTTCACCGTCGACCCAGCCAGCACACGGTTCACATAGTAAGAATATTTTCAAGCTCAGAGCGCACACATTCATCAGGCAAAATTTCTTCTCGTTTCGGGTAGCAGCTGCATGGAATGACCTTCCTCCAACAGTTATCCATGCTCCTTCTAGGACCCAGTTCAAAGCACCACTAGACATTTGTTTATGCAAATTCTCGCGCTGGAGTGCGTACTGCCCCGGACTGAGAACATAAAGAGCGCTTCACACCCCTTTTTCACTTGTGCCTTTCAGGTGAACGAGAGCCACTGACCGAAAAGAACAAAAGCGACCCGGGAAACTTGGGCAAAAGCCTCGATCCTGTGTATCAATCCCTGAATCCGTGATTTCCATCCACTCATTCTGTCGTGAAGTCCTACCTTAGAAGAGTCACTGCCCACGGTGCTTCCACAGAGTGCATAATTCACGCATGTCAGTGCAGTGGCAGAAGGTCCCACTAGTTATCTACTGTCTTCTATAGAAGAAAGGTTGAAAACCTAATTACCGGCCGCTTTTGTTTTAATGCTTGAAAAGTTTGACCGCTTTAACTACAGACATTTGCAATCTTTTCGAAAAGAACACAACAATGGTGAGGAATCTTGAATTTCAAAATGACGCTATGAATAGCCACCTAAAAAGAAGTCAGGGAAGAGCAAGGAAAGGAAGGCCACGAGAGCATCTAAAACGAAAACGCCGACCGTAGTTGATGGAATTTCCACGGCAGAAATGAGTCACACCCAATTGGAGGAGCATATTATACGTCTGAGAGAGGAATTAGACAGAGAAAGAGAGGAACGAAACTTCTTTCATCTCGAAAAGGATAAGATAAACACATTTTGGGAGATCACGAAATCCCAGCTGGAAGACGTTCGTTCGGAGCTGCGGACGAAAGAAAGGGAGATGGAAGAGGCTGAGGAACGGCACCACTTAGAACTCAAAGTAAATGTCACTGGCGCATCATTCTTCCATTTAGGTTTACAAACAAAAAGTGAAGCATTTGCTATACGAACACCAAAACAGAGAAACTGAGTTAAAGTCCGAATCAGCAACTGTGGCAAAAATTCTGCAAGCTGAAAACGCGGAAGTGGAGGAATTCTTAAGAAAAGACCAGCGTAATTTAAAGTGCCAGATGAGCGAAAACATATGTCACAACGCAGAACACGTCAAAGAGCTCAAGAAGGATTATGAGAAACAGGTAATTAATTCCTCGATCTACCTGACGCCGTTTCGGAGAATAGCTTCATCAGATTCGTCAAGATTTTGAGACAAAACTCAATGAGCAACAGAAATGTCACCAAGAAAGGATAAAGATCATGGTGGATGACCTCAATTTGCAAAGGAAAAATGAACTTCATGACATTGAAGAACGGAAAAACAACCATATCAACAGAATAATGCAGGACCATGATAAAGCCTTCAGTGACATGAAAAACTATTATAACGATATAACTGTAAACAACATGGCACTCATAAGCAGCTTGAAGGTACGTTCGGCTACGTAAGGTCAAACTTTAGAAACAATGATTTTTAATACGTACGCTTTCCTATAAACCATAGGTCCTGTTTTCTTTTAAAGTGGTCAGAATGGCATGTTTAGGCTACCCTCCACAATCCAGCATTACTGGTGACTCATCGAAACTTGCCAAATTCGTAGTAGTTGGCCCGTTCTTTTCAATGCTTATGCTGCGCTAAGTTTGTTCTACGCCGCTGGTTGTGTTGTAGTGGTTAACGGCCCTAAGGAGTCTCTAGTGAACAGGACAAAGCAACAATGTAAGCCAGGCACACAGTCTCAAGGAGAAAAATCCAAATAAATCTTGACTCACAGTTGAATATAAGAGATTCCCTGGTTCCATATTTTGTTGAACCACCACATCAAGAGAAGTTCAACCTTCCAGGTATTCCAACTCTCCGGTGATCGCAATATTAATCCATAGATGTGAGTATATTGGTCCAGCGTTTATAGCTAAAATGTTTGTTCACGTTTGGAGTTGGTAGCAGCCAATTATAGTCAACCGGCAGTCACAGCAACAGTCACCCAGCAAAAACCTCAAAGTCACGTTGGACACAAAAAGCGGGCGGTTGCAGTTGTACTTCAGTAAAACAAACTTTTGTACAGTGATGTGACTGATATTGATAGGAAAAGGAAGATGATACTGGGCATGAAAAATAGCAGTTTAAAAGTGCTACACTGTTATAGTAGACAACACTGACCAAACTGTGGCGTTAGATGGTTCGATCCAAGTTGCAGGCCAGGTAAAGGTAACTCACCGGTTAGATTTGGTTGTTGATCATGAGGCCTAAAAGCACTAGACGAGGCAGCCTACATCTGGTTTTTCCTGCGCATATCTCGGAGCAGTGTGTCAGGATGATAAATCCAGCATTTTGCATCTAGTCCTTGCTTGCAATAATATTTTCATACGCAGAAGTCTTGCATTGATTCGAACTCTTTTATAAAAAAAACAGGCATAGCTTCGAATTGCAAGCTACCAAAACCTCGAGTTGACAAGCACTAGACAGCGTTTATGCGTCCAAAAAGAGCCTTTATCGGTTTGTTCACTCTACAGCACTTGCCTCCAGAGCCCATCCAAAGTGGTGGGGTGAGTAGGTAACTGGCTAAAAGCACATTACTCCTGACGTAAAAGTGTGGTCCATACTTTCCCGCTACTATCCGATTGTGTGAAGTTTTATAATCGGGTGCCTTCATGCATGGTCCAGGTTCCTGAGTTTGTGTAGTTTACGAATAACCAACGGCCAGACAAGCTTTGTCTTAAACTTTTCTGTTTCTATAATCAGAAAGTGGTCGGATGTTCTGCATTTTGCAGTTAGCCTAAGTAATATTACAAGTAGCAGTGATGCAGCGTAAGAGGCGTAGGCTAGTCCTTTTTCACGATATTTTGACCCCTTTTCTTTCAAAATATCCTGTTATTTGATAGTGCAGTCAGATAATAATTTTCAGCTGCTGAATGACTTAACTCCATAGCTGATTGATAGTATGCGGATCATTTCAAAGATCAAGGCTATCATCTAGATCTTGGACGTTTCTGCATATCTGTAGATAATCAGCAAAAGGTTATTTGTTCGAACAGTGAAATTTCAGTAGTTCCTTGACGCAACTGTTGAACGGTACTATCTCCAGTACATTTCCAAACCACGCCTATTGTGACTTGAGAGAAATTACCATAGTTTTCCGAGCACTCACACGGAGGCTATGATGCTTATTGCGTCTGATTGTACAGTTTAATGGGTCTGTTAGAAGATTCGTTTGTCACTGTTCCTGTGCACTTCAATTCTACTTTAATTTTCACGAACACTGTATTTGAGGCAAGTTTCTCGTCAAGAGGGCAATCAATCCTTGTGAGCTGTCAGTAGGTTTCTATTGCAAAAACAGAGGCGCACAACTAGCCTTTCCAAGCTGACAAAGAATAAGTTTCTATTCATATGTGATGTGTCTGTCACGTAGCGAATGACCCACTTTTGGCTTGTACGTTGTTTGTTCAACCATTATCCGCTCACATCATTTTTATCACCAGGGCTATGAGCTTTAGAATACAGTTAACAACATCAAGGAGGACTAGCGACATCCAGAATTTGTCATACAATACAAGTGCTACTTACGTTGAAATAATCGCATGCGCTATTAGCCAGTAAACTAAAATCAACACAAACCTTTAAGAATTATTAGATGCTTTCCTTCGGATCCAGTTGACTAAAGAACCGTCATGTAATAAAAAGCCTCGTAACTTCAGGTTTTGGCACACTGGCATTGTTTTTGTTCATGCCGTCTGATCCGATGAATTATTATTAGTTAACTGAAACAAGGTGTCGCGCTCATTTGATAACGCTACCACTGAAGATTTTCTCACGTTTTGGTCGTGCTTATCATTTATTATTGGGGAATTACGTATTCAGAGAAAACTTTGGGTTTGTAGCTTAGACGTTACATCGGGTTTTTAGGTCAGTTTTAAATCGTTCATCTTGTTGTCGATACATCTTGCTTGGTTAGCATGCCGGGCCTAACAGCGAGGCTTTGACAATATACAAAGTTCCTTATAATGCCATCAGTGAATTTTGTATCCTGACAGCCACAGAAAACCGTGGGCTAATTGATTCAAATCCTTCAAAAATTGCGCAAGTGTACGAACTTAATGGCTCCAAAACAACCGCAAATGCCCAAAGTTACAATGACGTGGAACAAATCAACTTTTTTGTCCCATATTTTAGCCGCTTTCCTGGATGGTTCCTGTTAAACACTCTTTTACACCTTAACAAACGCAACAAAGGTAATACAAACGCAATAATCTCTGCCCACCAACCATGTTTATTCCTTCTTTGGAGTCCAGCTGCTTGTGATTCAGGTGCGAAATTCTTCTGTGATCCAGCTAACCTCTGAAGTGCTAAATAGCCAAACAAGAGTTTGTATTGTGAATAGTGTTTGCGCAGTTCATGTACACTGGCATGAATGTGATCGTATTTTCGCAGTGGAGTTGTAAGCACTGGCCAATGTTGCAGAAAAAGCAGTGCCAGGATGTATGATACCGATAAAACCAGTGATCAGACTCTACGTTCTGTGAATCATCAAACAACATGAAAGAATCAATTGAAATAGTCTTGGACTTTTACGAAAACTAGAGTAACAGTTTTTGTGAAGTAGTAAACTCGCGTGCAAGTACTGTTCGACTTTTTTGTTCTATTTTGCTGAGAGTTACCGGCGTCAATGAGAAACTGTTGGCATTTTTGCACAAACTTTTTTCGTTTAACTGTGTTAACGCCAGGTATAACCACGGCCTAAATAGTCAAACTCTTATCTCCTTTTGCGTTTCCTCTTCTATCAGCTTTTGAAATCGCATCACGGAAATGGAAAGTAGTGCCCTCAACTCTATCTTCCACAAACTGTTTTGTCTCTGAACTTTAAGAAAGGTGTAAATTATCCTCAGTTGCAAGAAACGTTGATATCTTCAAAAATACTTTTAAACGGCATATAGGTATTCTACTTCGGAGAAGACCAAGTTTTTTCTGATTTCCTCAAAGGCGTTTGTACGGTGAAACATCGTGAATTTTTTACTTTATTTGACGCTATACGTTTATATATAGGAAACCAAACTGGTTAAACTTTTAGGAACAACTCGCCGAACAGAAAAAGAATCAAGAGCGTCTAGAACGTCAGATATCCGAACTGCAGGCAGAAAATCGCCGTCTAGTTGAACCACTCAAGAAAGCTTGCGAGGAAAACGAGGATCTTAAGCGCCGAATGACGAACTATGAAAAGGATAAAGCTTTGTTCAAGGTGGGTTTTTTCTGCCAGCCGCCATATCGGTAGAGTTATACTGACACTTGGCCTCAAACTTTTGGAATACTCACTGCAGCTCTAACTAGGCAAAGTGATGTTTTTTGTTAGCCCATATATTCCTCAAAAGCTTGTTTGTCTACTTCTTTTGGTATCAGTAAAAGTACATGAATGATGTTATGTAATGTTTTGGTGTTGTTGTTGCTCGTTTCCCTCCAGACTGAGGTTTGTGTGACCCATGTGCTTGCTTTGTGACAGTGCGAGAAATGGTAGCTAATAGAAATCAGCGGCATTTGTGTTGTCAGCTTCTATTCAGATTGTTTTACTGAGTGCCATAGACGTAGGTGTCTCTGATGTTCGTGGTAGGCTAGCCATAGGTCCCCTCTTTCTTTTGTCTCTCATTGTAATGTTCTATTCAAATCAGCTGAATTGGTTGTACGCAGTAAAGTGCCAGTGCATTTATCTTATGTTGTTGTCCATGATGACAATAATAATAAATAAAAATCAAAAGGTAATGGTGGCGAAATAACTCACCCTCGATAGATGAACTGATCACACTGCATCGGTTGCGCGTATGCCAGTAGACCGACTTCCTTGAAGGGCTTTTTGTACACAATCATGTGATGGGCGGAAGAGGGTCAGAGGCGGTAAAACAATGACTTGGCAGCGAAGTATAAAAGCCATTACCAGCAAACTCAGCTGCGCTGGTCACTGCCGTCTTCCTGGATGGGGACCCCGAGACTGGCCACATCAATGGCTAGAGACATTGTCAGATATGGCTTAGTCCAGCCCTCAATGGCGCTCGTGCATCAAAGCTATTGCCTTCAATGCATAGGTCCTTTTCCAACCCCCCACTTGACAGTCCAACTACAGTGCTGTATTTACGCACTAACTTATCAGCCTCCAATGCGCAGCTACACACTCCACCTCCCTAAAAAATCTTTCAACGAAACTCTGGCAGCTACAACCACTGTACGACAAGTGCGGTGAATACAGCTGACATTGATGAGGATGATGATGATCGGTGGAAATTGCTTCGCTAGTCCCATGCATACGCTAGAGGGTTTATAGCCTCACTGAGCACAACGTACTTACAATCTTGTCCATTAGAGCGAATGTGAACACAATAACTACCAATCAATAGTAAAACATAACCGCACCCTTTCGGATATGAATCTTTTCTTAACTAAACAGAATGTGAATTGAATGAAATTGAATGTTGTAGTTGCCAGTGAATACTATATTCTTATGTGTGCTCAGACAGTTTTTGGCGTTTTATAAATCTATGTTCACTTAGTTAGGAAAAATCGTTCGTCCCACTGGTTTTGATTTCGAACTCTTAGCCGTTTGAGGCCATTTAAATGTCTCCGTTTCCTACTTGTCTCTCTTTATGTGCAGCAAACCAAAATCTTACTGAAAACTTGTGAACAGGAGAAAAAGCACGTTCAATGGCAGTTTGATATTTTGGAACAGAGATTCAAACGGGTAAGACATGGAGAGCGTTTTTAAATGTTTCATTTAACATTTGAACAAGGGCAGTTTAATCACTTTTTTTACTACTGCCTGCACCCAAAAAGGCATGTTTTGCTCTGTTTCCAAAATGTCCGGTTAGTGTGTGTTGTGTCTTGATGGACAGTAGTGCAACTCTGTATCGGTACCCTGGCTTCCTGCTCCGACCACTATGGTATATCAAAAGGCACGGTAGCTCTACACAACCCTTTATGGAAACAAAGGAGAACTATTACAACTGTATTTATAGGGTGGTCACAGAGTGTTCCACCAGGTCGTGCCAGAATCTCCGTGAGAGGGCGAGAAGCGTCAAGTCACAGGTACTTGACTCGGATTGGCTGGCATTCTGGCCAGTCAGGGCATGCCTTCGTGTGTCCTGCACGTGACACATCCGTCCAAATGATGTGCTGTTCGGTTATTAGTATGATCCCATACTTGCTTTTGTAAAGCATTTGCATAACGCTTCCTAGAACAGTTATTTTGTTGTGGGATCATGCCACGCTCGTTTGAGCCCGAATCGATCTCGATACTCTATAGGACACTGTCATTTTTGAGCAATTCATCCACCACAGTCACTGGGGAAGCTTTTCACGCTTTCCCAAGGCGGGATTGTTGATAGTCTTTGAACTTTTTAGAAAATCCACAGTAATTAGTCTCTCTCCACCTAGTATGCAAGTACTAACAAATCTTACCCAGGATTTTTTGATACCATTTTTATCGCGTCCGCTGAGGGCTCAAACCTTTGTCCGTTCGGATGTCTACCAGATGCAAAGCACTAAAGTTTTGATGATCACTATTAATATGTGGTTTGTCTGAGAGGCTTCAGTTTCGTCGAGGGCAGTGTTCAGTGTTTCACCGTATTTGGCTTAATAGGCTGCCTGTCCGAAACAGCTCCTTCTTGCCAACTATGGTTGCTAGCATATAACTTTTGTGAGAAAAAAAACAGTTCTATGACTCTCTCCAAGGTAATGCGTCCCCTGTCTGCGCGTCCGCATCCCTGAAAGCCTCAAAATCTATTCTTGTTCATTAAATGAAATCCAGTTAAAACGAAGACTTCTCTTTGCAATTTGTCCGGATACCTAACAATTTGGCAGCACACTGTTTTGCCTACATCTTGCTTTTTTGATGCCACGAACATACCGGACGGCATTTTTTTTAAACTTTTTTAATGCTTTTCGTAATCATACTAAGCAGAATTCACCCCAGCAGCTTTCATTGTGCAGTATCGATTGAATGGGTACAATACAATGCAGCATCGAAAGCGCAAACAGCGAGTTATTTTTTGGTGACACCAATTTTTGCGTGGATCTCTACAGTTGAACAACTGAAATTTCCCGGGTTCAGAGAAAATAAGAGTCATCCAGTGTGCATCAGGTCACAACAAGCAAGATTCAGTAGCTACTCCCTCAGCTACCTGAGGGGTCCTCAGCCCCAGAAGCTAATCAGACTGGTATTTGGGCAGTTCATCAGGCCTACCGCCCTCAAAATAGCGTGCCGAAATGCTGCAAAATACTTTACAAGCAAGAAGTTCCACAAGTCGAATGGAATGTCCACAGCACTCTGAATTACAGCCAGGACGTATTGAGCGACCTTGTCGCATGTATCAGGAATAGACCCAGACAAAGTGTTTGAAACAGCTCAGTTTAAAGAAACGCTCTTTATGCTATTGTTTTATGTCCGCTTGTTTCGTTCGTCGTAATAAGAAAATGAAATTACCTTCCCATGATCTGTACGCTCAGGTTACCTTGCGTCATTTAGGTATCGTTGAACTAACTGCGTCACTACGAGCCCTGACTGTTTCAAGCCGTTTACAAACTGCAACTGACTGTGTGACCCAAGACGGTCAATTCATTTTGAACCTTTGTGCTTTTGGTTTAGCCGAGATTGACTGTATGTCACACGCAATAGGTCAAACCTCAACCCTTCCATGGCGAGCAGCTGAATACACACGACAGGTCAGGGATGAAACACCTATTCTGCTGAAATTATGGGTTCGTTTTAGCAGTCTAGAAGCCAAAGCTTGACTTCTGAGGAGAATACCTTGAAACCTCTAAAAAGAAATGAAAGACACGATTTATCAAAATCTAGTAAAACACGTTGAACAGAGGTTCGTTTGCAAATCTACAGTACAGACCAGTCAGCCAGGGTGACCATTCGACACCGATGTAAACTTACAGCACCACTTACGATGCCGTAGGTAACCACGAGGATAATAGTGCTTTCTAAAAGAACACCACCAGAAATTTCTCTGGATTCTGACATTTCTATACTGTGCAAAGCCTTTGAACATACAAAGTGCGCCAACGGATGATTATGGCTTCAGCACATCTGTGTCTCCTTCTACTTCACACATGTTTTTGTTTAATGGAACAAAGCGATTTTGCTCTTTTTACTCGGCATCGCCAAAACCACCTTCGGGCTTTTCCCTAAAGTGCTTCTTGTGCTTACACACTCTATTTAAAGCCCTATTCATTTTGTTGAAATATTGCTAGCTCGGGTGAGTTTATCGGTTGTTGATCAGGTGGCTGTTACCTTAAGTAGTCAATCACGTCAGAAGATAACAGGTAGCCCTCGAATGCTATATAAACGCACGCAGGCAAGGAAGAAGTACCCACTCAACTGCGCACTGATGATGTCTCCTCGTATGGTGACGAAACGTTTGCAAGCCAATTGCCAAGCTCGGCGAACAGATCAACAGCCACCTGATCAACAACCAATAAGCCCTATTCATGTTATGTGTACTTGACACCCTGCTAACCATAGGCAGGTTCTAACTGTACCCTTGTAAGGTACAGTTATTCATGAAATCCCAGCGTTAACCATTTTGTCGTAATGTTCCAGAAGACCAGTACGAATAATAATCTTTCCATCTAGGGAACAAGCCTCCAAGACAAGTTTGCAAACACATCTTGCCGGTGCATCAGTATGCTTCAGTTTCACACGCCCAAGAGCATTAGGCGGTGGGGTGCAGAATGCGGCGGAACTGCACAATTTCACAACACCCTTCTGTTTTTTCATTAAAAATATGCCAGGACATGGGACACTTCTTTAATTAGGTTGCAAAGGTGTACTGGGTACTGAAAATTGCCCGCCCATGCTGCAAAGGTAGTTTCCTTTTATTTGCGAGACGAAAAGTTGATGAGTAGAGGATCTGAGACATTGATAGTGCGTAAGTGAACAAATGAGGAACAATACACCAGTGAGACACCCGGTCGTAGTAGCAATTCTGGTTTAGAAAATCACATAAGATTAATACTATACATTCCGTAGCCTTCACTGATGTTCCGCTCCTCGTCACTCCCCACTTTGGACGTTCTACCAGAAACTCATTAGTGAAGAAGTTTGGTCCTAGATGACGCAAGAACTACAAGAGCTACGGTTCTATCAGTGTTCATCTTTTCAGTGCAATTTCGCACTACTTAAGTTCTCATGAGTAGTTGAGAACCATAAGCATTTGTCGTGAGTGGTCTCACGGAACCTACATACGATTTTAGGAGCGCTCTATCCCAATTGTGCTATTCCCCATTGTGGAAGGATATCCATTTTTGCTCTAAGTTTGAACGAAGAAGAAAAGCTGTTACGATTTGTTATGGAAAACCACACTGGCCAGTTTGCACATACATTGCCAGATCGGTACGAGGTCTTCGAGTTTGGAGAGTACACCATAGTCTACTAATCAGGACCAGTTTGAAGGCTGTGACAAATCTGCGAGGCCAATTGGCCTAAGACACATTAAGGTGAAAGGATATAGAGCTGTCCTATTTGTCTGAAGCCAACATACACCGTCAGTCCACGTTTACCACATCTTCGAGTACCAACCAAGTTCATCTAGGTCGGCCATGTTCACATCAGTTTCCAAGCCAGCCGCCAATTCCACATTGGAAGTTTCTAGAGAGACAGTGGGAGTTCGATATGTCAGAATTAGCTGAATCCTCAGAGCGAATGCAGTTGCGAACAGAGTTTGTTACCCTGCACTTCTTTCGCTGCGGACCACTTTTGCTGACATTGAAAGTTCTACGTTGGAGTTTGTGGCAATTACATCACAATTTTTCTTCGCTTCATCGGAGGCGATACATCACCATCATCATCATCATCATCATCATCATCATCATCATCATCATCATCATCATCATCATTATCATTATCGACAGCATGACATCAATGTTCAACACCGATGCTTCACTGCCTATACCTCCAAACATTTAATCAGGCAACAAGAACGCCACTGACATCGGTTGGCAGCCATATTTTCTAGTGTCTCCAACCAGGCATAGTGAGAATCACACGGTCCCTATCCTTGAGGGCGAGTAGCACCGACAGCACCCAAGCGTTTCGTGATCTCCTTCATACCCCTTTGCCAAGTCAATGGTTGGCCAGCTCTCTGTTTACGCCACTCTCAATTGGGCAAGACAGGATTCCATCAACATCACAAGTATTGAATGTTCCTGCCCAACTACCATAAAGTCGTGAGAAATTATGTATATTTTAGTTGAGTGGAAAGCGGATTGATGGCATCCTTTTAGCTCCAGGAAAAACGATCAAGACTGAAGTGTTCACATTTTGGAAGTCGGAAGCCCGATGTCACCAATGGGACTGACCCAACATCTAACATTTTAGCAGTCAGAACGGTGCCACACCCTCAAAGATTTCTAACCAGATGCATGGAGAATCACGCGCACCGCCGCAACGAGTCTGACGATGGCCTCCCTCATTTCGTGAGCGGACTTCAAACACAGCAAGAGATTTTCACGGCCACTGTCGTTACTCTTGTGGAAGTCTTGCACTTTTCTGCATAAATACCTTGTTCTTTTTACCTGTACACTCTAACCCCAACATTTCTTGTCCCTTCAAGATGGAAAAGGAACGAGATGAGCTTTACGAACGGTTCGTTGCCGCGATTCAAGAAGTGCAACAAAAGACTGGACTGAAAAATCTGTTGTTGGAGAAACGTCTGCAAGCCCTCACCGACGTGGTTGAAAAGAAGGAAGTTCAGCTGAATGAAGTCCTTGCGGCAAGTAATTTGGATCCGGCAGCAGTGACCGCAGTTTCACACAAATTAAATGTACGTCTTCTCGAATAGTTTCTTGTTTTTGTGGTATTTTTATTGGTTATTAGACTTTTGATATATCTGTGCAGTTTAGGTCTTAAAAACTCAGGTTGAAAGTAAAGGGTCTTCCAAAATCTAGCCTGTGAGTTCGCTCGGCCGCCTTGGAGACGTAGAAGTGAACGACTTTCATGCGATCCTCACGGCAGAACACACAGTCGATCATGATGTCATCCAGTCATCATCATCATCATCGACAGCATGACATTAGTGCTCAACACCGATGCTTCGCTGCCGTACAACCATGATTTATTTGAAAGCCTTATTGTAAAGAAAAGAGTAAAGGTGAATGGGGAAGGGACTTGGTGCTAGCTTAACACAATCAATCCGAGGTGCCTACACCTCCAGACATTCACTCAGGCTATCTGGATAGAAACTGACAACAAGAACACCACTGACATCGGTTGGCAGCCATATCTTGTAGTGTCTCTAACCAGGCACAGTGAGGATCACGCGGTCCCCATCCTGGAAGGCGAGTAGCACCGACAGCACCCAAGCGTTCCGTGATCTCCTTCATATTCCTCTGCCAAGTCAAGAGTTGGCCACCTCTCATCCGGAATCACTGACCTAAACCCAGACACTGTGCGCAGCAAGCCGTTGGGATAAAGCCGACTAACCGTAGAGAGGCCAAGGCGTTTTTCTGATCTTAATACGGTTAGGTCAGTTTTAGATACAAGGCTAGTAAGAAAGAATCGATGGCGAATAGTCTCGTCAATTCAATGACGTAAAAACCTGACCAAAAGCGAAAGTTCTGCTGAAACTGAAAGGATGTACAGCTGAGCAAAGTTAAGTAGGTATTTCTTTGTACAAACACTCATAGAGGTGGGCCACTAAAGATAGTTTCTCTCATACATTTCCTTTGGAAGGTGGCTTCAGCTCGAGGCATTTGAATTGTGTCTTTGTATACCTTCCTCACTAGGTTTAGTCACTGACTTAGAACCTGTCCAATACGGATTGCTTCCCAAGTGTAGCTGAGAAAACTTGACTAAACTGGGCAACCCTCTACCACTTCTAAGGCGAATGACAATTCTGAATTTTAAAAAAATGATATAAAAGCATCATGATGGGTCAAAATCTTGAAGAATACAATACCAGTGTTTTTCTCTCTGATTCTACTACTCCTGCTAGATGAGCACATGGGTTCGATGGAACTCTTAGATGAAGACCACTCGGTTACGATAATGAGAATTGTGATAGATCATTCTTCTTTGGCTCGAAAATTGTCGATACACTCGCTCTGGAAGATGCGTTAAGACGTTGGTTCCAAAAAAGATTGGCCACCATAAGATTGGAGACTATGCCTGGTTATATAGCCCCCTAGTGATGACCGGGGGGCATCCAGATCGCAATACGCGGATAAAACCCCGCACACGATGGCTAGTCCTACATATGGTTTGCGTGTAGCCGTACCTAAATTCACTTGGACACCCGTAGAAATAGGCCCGCTGGATGAACAGAAAAGGGCGACCAAAAAGCCATGGTGTAAATGTGTACACTACTGATGAAGCTTGCGAGTAGTACCGGGTCAGGCAGCTCAAAGCATCGTCCTTGAGCCTGATGGAGGGTTGAGTAAAAATCATCTGACCGCATTAGAAGGCTAGTGAATACGGCTAGCATTAAAGTAGCATTCCAGAAGGGGAAGACTCTACGCTTGGTGTTGGTGCATTTGAAGGATCGCCTTCCGGTTGATAGGACTAGGAACTGTGCATACAAAATCAAATGTAGGTTAGACAGCCAGAGAACTGCACACCAGAATCGGTGAGCATAAGCGTTCTACTAACAAACCACCGAGAAACGCAAAGGAATACCAGGCGTTAGTCAAAGATTCAGCAATGGCAGAGCATGCACTAGACACTGGGCATAGGATAGATTTGCAAAATATGGACATCCTGAGACGGGGTTTAAGATTCAAACCACAGCGACTGGTGGCCGTGGCGGTGGAAATCGCCAAGCATCCCAGCGTGAATAGAGTAGAGGGGTAGGACTTCCAAACATGTGGAGGGCGGTCTTAGATCAGTCAAGGTGACACGAGGCGGTGTGCAGTTATCAGTGAAATGGTCTGGATCTAGAAGTACAAAATCCGAGTAGAGTTAGAACCACCCCCACCCCCATCCCCCAAACCAATTGTCCCGGCACCCTTTGACGAACACAGGTAAACGAAATCTGTAAACGATCTCAAGGGGAATTTTCCATTAAGGTGTCCTAGACTGAAAAAGCAAGGACGAAGAATCCGGGTTCATCATTAGGACAAATCCTCCCCTCCCCTAACCAATCTATTGTAAATGTTAGTCACCCCCACTAACCAACAAACATGAACATCAGGCTGAACACTCAGCACTGATCAAGTCACTAGTCATAAGGAATCTCACAGATTGGTCCGCTGACTGCCTTAAAACCCAATCAACCTACTTACTTACTCACTTGGCCTGACGAAGCTTTTGTGTCAAAATTAAAACGTTGCGCAGCAATAAATCCACCGATTATCTTTGTAATGTACTACTCATAAGGTTACTGAAAATCCGTCAACAGCCCAAGACCGTTTTCGCCCATTTGGGGGCTCATCAGGTAGGCGCAGTTCCCGAGTTTCCGTCGACCTTATGCTCTACTTGAAGCCAAATTGCACGAAATTGGCGAATATACACTCATTTTCAAACTAATTTGGTTTTTCAGGAGACCCAACTGGAACCCAGCTGAATCTCTCTCTTTTGTGGTGTCACCAAGCAACTGATTGTGCTGCACCAGGTAGCCTCATGTTTCAGTCGCTATGATATTCGAGATATCGCGATACATGTACATTCGTAATGCACTGCTCATAAGGTTGCTGAAAATTCGTCGACAGTCCACGACTGGTTTCGCCTTTCTTGGGGCTCATCAGGTTGATGCAGTCCCCGAGTTTCCGTTCTTATGTTCTACTTGGGAACATCACAAACGAGAGGTTCATCTGGGTCCCAAGTGATTCTCTCGAAAAACCAAATTAGTTTGCAAATGAGTGTATATTCGCTAAATTCACCGATTGTTTAACAAACCTCTCTTTAAAAATCATTCGACTACGTTCGTGCAACGACTCTCAAAGAGGTTCGTCTCTAGCGGTACTGAATTACGACGGATGATATCACAGGGTGCATTAGTGAGCCACGTTTGGTACCATGTGTGTGTGTGTCACGTGATTCTATCTTCTGCTTCTATCTAAACTGCACCAGATTCTTGATGTCTCAACCTATTCTATACAATTACCCCTCACACAGGATATACTGGACTCCAAGAACACAGCAATAAAAGATCTTCACTACGAGTTGGCTCGTGTCTGTAAAGTGAGTTGTCTTCACCGTAAAAGCACTATGTGTTTTCCGTATTCATTCTTACTACAAGTTCCTAAGACGAAAACAAGTTAGGCTTGATCAGCGCAGAGAAAGACAGATGTGTCTTTCTTCAAAGTCACCAGACATACATGTGGTTGAAACTGCTCCCTGGCTAAATGTTCATTTTTGATCAGTCTCATTCTGACAATCTATGAGGGATTCTGAGTGTGCCAAGTTGAATTGAGTTTGATCCGTCTCTGAAACAAAGCATTAGCCACGTTCCTACCCTGTCATGTTCTTCATCTACTGTTTTATAAACGAATTGTTGAACCACATTTCAAGCGTGTCTGCTTTTTGGGCACATATGTATGATGATTCGAATGTGTATGTATGTATGTATGTATGTATGTAAGTATGTATGTATGTATGTATGTATGTAAGTATGTATGTATGTATGTATGTATGTATGTATGTA